CCGGTGCATGGGGCCTGCTTCTCCCTCTGCCTGTGTCTCTGCTTCTCTCTCTCTCTCTCTGTGTGACTATCATAAATAAATAAAACAATTTAAAAAAAAACTTAAAAAAAAAAAGGAGTTCTATGAAGAGGCTCCACATGCCAAGAGACTGAAGCCTCTTGCTAACAGCTAACACCACCCTGCCAGCCATGTGAGTAAGCCATCTTGAAAGATGATCCTCCAGCCCTGGTCCAACCTTAGATTTTTGCAACTCTGAGATATCTGAGTGGGGCCCCTGTGGGAAACTGTGAGCCAGAACCACCCCGTTACTTCTCCTCAATTTTGATTTACAGAAACTATGAGATGTGTTTTGTTTTAGGCAATTAAGCCTTGGAATAATTTGATGCACAGCTGTAGCTAACTGATATGGTGCATGAGATGCTTGGAAAGATGTCTGACACATCACTGCCATATGTGTTGGCTATCATTAACATTTGTGTTACAGGTAGGAGGATTGAGTCTGAGAATGGTGAGGGACACACAGCTAGGAAGTGGCACGGCCAGTTATGTCATGAGTACAGGCCCTTAAGTGGCAAGTCCTAGGCTGCTTTTTCTATCCCGCTTTTTCAGTTATCTACTGCTGATCAGTATTATCTAGTGGCATAAACCAACCATTTCATCATGCCCCTGGAGCTTGAGAATCTGGAATTCCACCAGGACAAAGTAGGGATAGATTTTTTCTGCTCTACCGGGTCTGAGGCCTTAGTTGGAAAAAGTCAAAGTCTGGACGTGACTTGACAGCTGGGGGCTGTATTGTCGCTCACATGGTGGCAGGACATGCTACCTTTTGACCAAAACCGTGGACATGGACTCTCCATGTACCTTGGGCTTCTTCATACCATGGCAACTGGGTTTGTTTCAGAGTGAATATCCCAAGAAGCAGAGGGTAGAAGTCTCCAGTTCCTTTAGGACTTGGGCTGGGAAGTAGCCCAGTGTTACTTCTACCACATTCGGTTGGTTGGCCAGTGATAGAAGGAAGAACATATGGACCCTACCTCTTGATGGGACACATCTCAAAGAATTTAGGGGCCTTTGTTTAAAACTGCCTGTGCTTTTCTGGTGGTGCCAGACCCCTAGTAGCCTCTCCTACTTGGTGAAGGGCTCAGTAAAACCAGCACTGCCCTGGCAGGTCACACACTGGTGGATTGGCCTTATGGGCACAGAAAAGACACAAACGCCACCAGCCTCCAACACTGCGTGCTCATGAAGAGCTCACATGAGGAGGGCGTATCACAGAACTGCAGAGAAGGGGCTGGAGTTGCCAGGGATGCCTCCTGGTGTCTCCATGTTCCAGGCTCTGGGGGAACGAAGATGAAACCTTAGGGAGTAGCTTTCAAGGGTAACGCATGGTCTAGAGAGAAGATTTTTAAGGAGACACCACCATCCGATGTAACAGGTACCACATGAGAGATGTCTAGGGAAGGGACACCCTACTCTGCCTCAGGAGCTCAGAGAAGGCTTCTTGGAAGGGGTGACGTCTGGGCCAAAGAAGGGCATTAGGGTATAGGGAACAAGCCCAGGCAAAGGCAAGGATCCAGGAGCAAACAAAATGTTTAGGAAACTACAAGTGATTCAGTGTGGCTGTGGGGTGGGCAGAGCTGAGAAACAAAGCTCCAGGGGAACGTCCATCAGACTCTTGGCACTGCCCTTAGCCCTGAGGGAGATCTCAAGGAGGAGGTAGGGTCAGGGAGGGATGTGGGTTTAGAAATGTTGACTCTGAGAGGCTCATGGGGCTTTGAGGGGGAGATCCCACATAGAGCTGTGTCAATCAGCCCTGGCATGAGGACCAAATAAGAGGTGGGGAGCAGCTGGTGAGAACCCTGAATGTCAGGGTCAAGGGCCAGGTCTATATTCCGTAGGCAGGGAAGAGCTGGGGAAGGGTCTCAAGCAAGATAGTGATGGTTAATGCTTAGGGAGGGGCCCAGCGCACGTGGGGAACCGTCCCAAGCCTTGTGTATGAACTTATTTGGACCTCGCAGTAATCCTGTGAGGTCAGTGCTGCTACACCTCATGGAAGTTAAGAGATCACCGACTCGGGACACAGGGTGGCTAAGTTGTTGAGCATCTGCCTTTGGCTCAGGCCTGATCCCAGGCCTTCCCCCCACTGCTCCCCCTCCTGCTTGTGCTTTCTCTCTTACTCTCTCCCTCTCTCCCTCTCAAATAAATAAATAAATAAATAAATAAATAAATAAATAAAATCTAAAAAAAAAAAGAGAGATCACCAATTATAATATGTAACATTCTGCTGGAACACATCTTCAACTTAAGATGGATTCTTCAGAGCCATTAAAATGTAAACAGGAAAAAAAAAGCCATAGAATCAATGAACTGTATGATTTGCATTTAAAATAAGAGGAAAAAGGAACAGAGAAGTTAACTTGCCCAAGGGCCAGTGAGACGTAGAGCCAGGATTCCAGACCCGACAACCCAACTACAAAGCTCAAGTTCTCAGCCATCCTATGATGCCAGACAGGTGGTCATCAATGATATGGGGTTCCACCAAGACCAGTGTGGCCACTGAGGGCTCAGTGGGCGGGAGGGCAGTGGGCAGTCAGGTGGCACCCTTGGGAGATGAGTCCACAGTAAGAGGGTTATGGACTGGCCTGGGGGCCATAGGACGGGAGGAGGGGACCAGGTAGGATAGAGGTCCTCCAAGAATGGGCTGAACTGGTTGACCCCACTGCATGTTGGGTGTGAAAATAAGGACAACTCCAACGTGTTGAGTCTGGAAAGAGGGTACAGCATCAGGGGGTCCAAGGCAGCTACCACAGACCAGAGGGCAGCCGTGGGGCCCCGGGGCTCAGCAGAAGTGGCTTATCATCCCAACTTGGGCAGGAGTGCTGCCTGGTGCCTGCTGGATGCTCACCAAGCAGCTGTCAAATGAATGGATAAGTTGTATAAACTTCATGTATGATCTCTGGGTCTCTCTCTGTCTCGCTCTCTTTGGTGTAAAATGAATGGATTGGACTTGAATGTGCAAAATAAAATGGAAGGTACTTTCCCTTTTAAAATATTTTATTTATTCCTGAGACACACAGAGAGGCAGAGACACAGGCAGAGGGAGAAGCAGGCTCCCTGTGGGGAGCCCGATGTAGGACTCAATCCTGGGACCCTGGGGTCACGCCCTGAGCCGAAGGCAGATGCTCAACTACTGAGCCACCGGGGTGTCCCTGGAAGGCACTTCCTTAGAAGGGGCAAGTATCCCTCTCTCCATCCCCAGGCCCTTCATGGCACCCCAAACTGTGGTTGTAGCCCTGGCTGGCTGTAAGTTAGATTAACTGAGGCTCCATTTGACACCACTGAATTCAGAAGCTCTGGATATAAGGCCCAGAGATGGATAGTTGTTTTGTTTTCTTTTTAAGATTTTATTTATTTGAGAAAGAGAGCATGAATGGTGGGGAGGAGCAGAGGGAAAAAGAGGAGCAGACTCTCCGCGGAGCAGGGAGCCCCATGCGGGACTTGATCCTAGGACCCTGGGACCATGACTTGAGCCAAAGTCAGACACTTAATCATTTCAGCCTCCCAGGCAACTGCCGGGATGGATAGTTTCTGAAGCTGCCCAGGGGACTGTCACGTGCAGCCGGATGAGAAGTTTTGCCCTGGAAAACCCCTGGGCTAGGGGCAAGTGGGTGGCTCAGTCAGTGAAGCATCTGCCTTCAGCTCAGGTCATGATCCCGGGGTCCTGGGATTGAGTTCCGCATGGGGCTCCCCGCTCAGTGGGGAGTCTGCTTCTCCCTCGCCCTCTGCACACCCACCCCCCGACTCATGTGTGCTCTCTCTGAAATAAATACAATTTTTAAAAAAATTACCCTTGAAAACCACTGGGCTCGATGCAGGCAAGATCCCTTCCAATCTAGGCCCTTGGCCTGAGGCTTGTGGTTGGTGACCGGCTAACTCCTTTTATGCTTCATGTTCCACACACCCAACCCAAAACTCCTGAGCGCCAGGAGACCGAATGCTGGGGTTTCTCAACCACACACAACTGAGGTCCTAGACAGGAGAACTCTCTGTTGTGGAGGACTCCCCTGAGCGTCTCGGAGGCCAGGGAGGCTGTAGAGGCCCACACCCCTGGGCCTCCACCCTTTAAATGCCAGCAGCCCATCCCCCAACCAAAGCCATCAAGAATGTCTGCAAATGTGGCCACATGTCTCTTGGGGTTGAGAACCACTGTGCCACAGCGAGTCTCCCCTTCCCCCTCTGCCCTCCCCAGTCGCAGAGAGAGGCTAGGCAGAGTGGAGGCCATTTGACAGCAGGTTTACTCTGTCTTGGCAGGAGGGAGGCCTCCGTGGGAGGCCAAGGCTTCACAATGTTAAATGGAGGGATAGCCTGTTAGCAGGCTGACTGATGTGGTCTCAACTCTAGAGGGAGGGCGGCTTCCAGGCACTTATTCCCGGATTCCCAATCAGTCATAAGAGCCCCAAGAGTAGCTTCTGGGGCAGCCAGCCCCCGTTTTCCGAGAATAGGCAGGAGGGGGTGTGGGAGGGGTGGTGCCTGGAGGGGATTCTTTCCTTCTGTAGATATTTTCCTGGAATCAGTGACTGCTCCCATCTGATTCGTAGAGGGCTGGGGCTCCGGGGCAGGGGAATGTTCCCCCTGTGGGTGCCTGGGTCCCCAGAGGCTGTCTGACCCCGGGACCTTGGGGACATTGGGCTTCAGGATGTGGAAGGCTGAGCCTTTGGTATGGGAGCTAAAGGGCTGGCTGATTCCCTCCAAGGGGAGTGGAGGTGGTGGGCTCCTGCCCTTTTGGAGTGGAGGCTGGGAGGCTGGCAGTGTCTTCACAGATCCTCTTTTGGTTTGAAGTAATTGGACCTGAGGGGAGACAGAGATGGGAGGCCTGGGCAGGGCAGGGAGGACGGTGGGAGGAGGCAGGAGGGATGGTGGTGGAAGGTACTGCGGGGAAGGTGGGGGGCGCTCAGAAGTGGTGAGGCTGCTTCCGCCCTTAGCCTCCCTGCTCTGGGGACTCACTCCACCACAAGGCTCAGGATGCCCAGCAGCAGGGCAGCTATCAAGACAGAGAGGAGCAGGATCCTGGCTTCCCGAAGATCGTGACTTCCTGCAGGGAGCCCAGGAAGCAGTGAGTGATCCTGGGGACCTCACCAGTCATGGGGGGGCGCCGCCTAATTGCTCAGAGATCCGAGCCAGGGGAGGCCAGGGCCAGGGCTTCAGGGGTCCAACCTGGGAAGCAGCGCTTTTTGGGCCAGCAGCGCACCTGGGTGCTCTGGCAGGTGGAGCAGTTGTAGAGGGTGGTTCTGCCCCCTGCAGGAGATGACAGGAGCCGAGCTGGGGCGGGGCAGCCCCAACTCCCTCTGGGGGCTGCCAGGCTCCCCTGGGGTACCCCCGGTGCCCCCGGCCTCACCACCCCATCCTTTCCTACTCACGGCAGGCAGGCGCGCAGAGAGCTGCAACCAAAGACAAGGAGGGGTGCGGGGACAGGAGACGCTCAGCCACCACCACCCACCCCCTGCTCCAGAGCCCCAGCACCCCATCCCTGCCACAGCAGTACCTTCCCGGGTGTACTGGGGGAGCTTGATCTTTTGCAGCCAAAGCTGGTACAAGGGGAGGGAGGAGAAAGACCCTTTGATCTCTGGGGAGACACGGGAGCAATATTGGGGGTGCCTCCCCTGTGGAGGGGTGCACCTCTACCCCTCACCTCGTGCCTCCAGGGTCCTACCTTCCTGTATCCGCCCCCTGATTCCTAGCCCCCTCCTACTGCCCCTCCGAGCCCCCCAGGGGCTGCCTTGCCCCTTGACCTCACCCATAACCCTCAGGACTCGGTGAGTCTTCTCTATGACTCTGTTCATGGACACCTCATCTGTGGAGACAGCAAGGATGTGTGAGTCTTTCCCGGCTTCCCCGGGGCCGAAGCAGGTCCCCCGAGGGGAGAGGCCAGTGCGTTCAGAGAGGGCTGCGGACCGGGGGTGTCCCGCTCGGGGACTGTCCCTGGATGTCTGAGCTCACCTAAGGCAAAGGCCGGAAAGTTCCAGGAGGCCCCACAGTCCTTCCACTTAGCCTCCACTTGGCCACACACGTGGGCCAGGCGGCCCGACAGGTCTCGAGCTGAGAGCTGGCAGAGGATACAGGCCTGGGTGGTCGCCAGGAACACCCCACCTAATGCCAGCACCCACATGAGGCCTGCTGGGGAGTGGTGGGGGAGCCCACTGAGGCTGGGAAGGCCTCTGAATGCTACAATCTTGGCTCCAGCCCTGCCTGGGGAGTCTAGAGTGTTCCAGAACAGTTGGGGATTCTAGAACATTATGGCACAGTGCCACCATTCTGTCTCTGGCTGGGGCTAAGGTGGGGCCCAAGGAGCTGAGGACCTGAAAGATGACCAGGCAGAGAAAGCAGGGCTTGTGCCGCAAAGAGGACAGCACCCCCCAACCTGGCCTGCAGCAGCCTTGACAAGTTTGAGGTTCCAAAAAGCCATTTTATTTTATTTTTTTAAAGATTTATTTATTTATTTTTATTTATGATAGACACACAGAGAGAGAAAGAGGCAGAGACACAGGAGGAGGGAGAGCAGGTTCCATGCCTGGAGCCCGAAGCGGGACTCGATCCCGGGACTCCAAGCTCGTGCCCTGGGCCAAAGGCAGATGCCAAACCTTTGAGCCACCCAGGGATCACCCCCATTTTATTTTTCTTCTTGTAAATCGTGACCAGCGAGAAATAATGAGTGACTCCCGAGTACCCCACCCCTCAGGGACCCAGAAATCCCATCCCTTCCCATATCCTCCCCTGCTCTCTCCACCTCTTCTGTTGGTCTCCCCTCTGCCCCAGGCAGCCTGGGGCCTGCCCAGCTATCTCCTAGCAACCATGCCCATGGTTGCCTTGGCAACCAAGAGTTCTATAGTGGCCTCCAAGGCCCAGCTGGGCCCACTGACTCCTCTTACCTTTCACCAGGAAGATCCTAGTGACTCAAACATCAACAGGCTCCTCCTGCCTACGTGGTGATGTGAACACACATGCGTGCACACACCCCCCTACTTGATTACACTAATTCTCCATCTACTCACACCCATACCACAGACATACCCAGTACCAAACACCAGGCAACCACAAACAGGCCTGGACACGCAGAGACCACAGAAAGCCCAGCACACAGATGCTGCCTCCAGCAATAGACAGGAGTCAGGAAGGCGGAGACCCACACGTCAGTCAGACACACAGGCTGACACACACACGTACGTGAGCAAAGTAAGGCCAAAACCTGCGAAGATGCCTCCTCCACCATCAATATGGGGTCCTTTACTATGGACTACGGGGCTCCAGCCCTATAGTAAATGGGGATTCTCCTAACTCCCTCATGCCAACCTAGGGTAGAGTGTAGCCTTTCCGTCTCCCTAAGTAACGTGAGACTGTGAGACCCAGCAAAGGATGCCCTTTCCCATAGTCAAGAATGTTCCGGCCACTCTTTGGTCAGGCTAGGCCATCCAGCTGCAGGAGAAGCCACGGTCCAGGAGACCACGTCACAGCAATCCAGAGTCCTTCACCCACACTTCGGTGTCCCTCCAGGGTCCTGCTAGGCCTAGCCTGAGCATGGAGGGGTCGCTACTCTTCTAGAACCTTGAATACTGAGCTCAAACAAGGAGACACTGGAGGCCGCCAGCCTCAGGCAAGAACAAGCCTGGGAACCTTTCCCCCCCTCCCAGGATTAGCACCAGTCCAGACCCTCTGCATGGCTTGTGAGCCCTCAGCGGGCTGAGATTTGGGAATTCCTGCCCACACCTGGGCTCCAGTCAGGTGCAGTGGGAGCCCTGACTCTCACAGCTCCAGAGGCAGAGCTAAGAAGAGGCTTCAGGGGGCCCTTCATCCCTTTTGCTGTCCGTTCTTTCTTTGCACCCCACTCAGATGGGAGTGCCACGCACTCAGTGCCGCACGAAGCGCAGAGATCGCGAGTTGAGCAGGTCTTCGGGGTCAGGGAAGACGGAGTCTAGACGGAAGCCGTGCTCCAGAGCGACCCGCAGCACCTCCTCTAGGAAGCCTGGTGTGCCCACAACCTCCCGCAACTCTCCCGGCCCCCCAGTCCACAGCGGCTGCAGCCCCAGTCTCCTATACTCCACCTCGGGGAGTTCTGCGGGACAGGGGGCCCACTCCAGACGGAAGTGTGGGCCGCCCTCAGCCCTATCCTCACTGGCCACACCAAAGCGGGCCCGCATGGCACCCAGGCACTCGGGGTCGGTGCAGAAGATGTTGGCTCGGAAGGTATCCACCTGCACAGAGCTCAGCTCATAGTGGTGTGGGCCCCGGCGAGCAGAGAAGTGCACCAGGCGGGGGCTGGCATCCACGTCTGCGTGGAGCAGGGCAGCAGTGGGTACGGGGGTCCCCCGAGAGGCCTCCAGGTCCCGCAGGGCATCCAGGAGGGGCTGGATCTGGTAGAAGTCGGCCTCTGCCCTGAGAAGTGCTGTCTCCCCATACCCACGGGGCAGGTCGAGGCGGCCCAGCCTCAGGAAATTGAGGATGTGCCGGAAGGCCTTGCCATCTCTGTCGATGAAGTAGTGGCCACCTCCCTGGGGGCTGAGGTTGGGGGGTATGGGGGTGCCGGCCCTGAACATGGCCCCCAGCATGGAGTCCGGGAAGCGAGTCAGGGTCTCCAAAGTGGTGGAGTATAGTGTGCCCCCAACATTCAGGGTCACGGGGCCCCCAAAAGAGGGGGGCGAAGAGGGCACAGGAGGCGGCGAAATTTTGGGGACTACGGGAGATACCGCAAGAGAAGAAAAGGCAGAACTGCCTGGGTGTGGGCAGAATTGGGTCATAAAGTTGAGACTGTCTCCGGATTCACAGGTGGGAGCGCACGGCGGTGAGATGCGGGGCTCGCCTAGGCTACGTCGGTAGCGGGGGGTGGTTTCCAGGGACAGACGCGGCCAAAAGCTCGAGAGAACAGCTGAAAAGCGCAGAAGCCAGAGAGGCGGGGAGATTTCGGTCCAGGCGTTCTCGATTCCGATTCCGGACGGAGGGTCAGCGGCTCCTCTCTGTGGTCTTCACACAGAGGGTTTCCGGAGTCCCACCAGCAGGTGACGGTGGCGAGCACAGGCCGGCGCTCCGAAGGACCCAGCTTCCGAGTTCTCGGCAGATCGCTGTCGCCGCGGGCGAGTCCACGCAGGGCCCCGGGGGCCAGTCGCAGGCCGGGCCTGGCCCAGGCGCGGGTCTCGGGCGACGGAGGCGGGGCGGACGCGAGGGGGCGGCAGGGGCCCCTACCCGCCGGGGCGCGGGGGATGCACGCTCGACGCGAACCGGGAGCCCCGGAGGACTCGGATGGAAGCTGCCGGGAGTCTCGGGGCCTGGGTGTCGCCGCCGCCGCCGCCGCCGCCACCACGGTCCTCTCCGCCCCCAGGAAGTGGCCTCAGGGCAGCGGCCGGCGGCCCTTTAAGGGACCGCCCCGCCCCCTTGGCGCCCCGCCTCCCGCCCCCGCGGGGCTCGCGCCGCAGGGGCGGAGGTGGGAACCGAGAGTCTGGAACCCGGGAGACGGGGCGAACGGGCCGGTCCAGGAACGCGGGCGGGGGTGGGGTCTGGAGGGTGACTCAGGAGCGTCGCTCCGGATGTGGCCGCGACCGCCCCGCAGGCGCCCAGGAGTGCCCGACCTCATGTCTGCAGCTCCGCGCGGGGCCTGAGGCCCCGCCGTCCCGGGCTGGGGGCGGTGCTCACCCGGGCGCTCGCGTCGGGAACTCCCGAGGGGGCGGGTGCTGAGCCGCCGCATTCCGGGGATGCCTCGGGGCCGGGGTGGCCCAAGCCAGCCTCTCCGTCCCGGCGCGACGCCAGCGGCCCCCTATGGGAGGCCGGCCCCCCAGCCCACGCGGGCGGCCTCTCCTCTGCCAGGCCCGCCGCGTCTGGCCATGTCGCCCGAGCCCGAGAGCTCCGCCCAGGGCCGCCGGGTGCTAGGGCTGCGGCCTCCGCCTCGCTGTCCCGGAGTGGCCCCTCGCGTGACTCGAGCTCGCAAACCCCCACCGCTCCCGCAGCCCCGGCCCGGCCGGAGGGTGGCGCCCCGCAGAGGAATGACGACGGGAAGCGCAGAGCACAGAGGCTTTAATGGCCCAGGGACCGGCGGGGTGGGGCAGAGGGGGCCGGGATGCAGGATCAGAGCGTGTGCAGGTCGTGACTGCGCCGGCTCAGCTTCTCTGGATCGTCCGACGCCATGAGGGAGAAGTCGCGGAAGATGTCCAGATACGTCTCGTCTCCTGAGGGGAGGGAGGGAGCAAGGGCTGGGCTGGCGAGGCGCCGGCCGGGCGGGGTTGGAGCGCGCTCACCGTGGGCACAGCGCCCCGGCCCGGCCCTCTCGGGGTTCGAAGACGTGCGCTCTCACACGCACTCAATACACATTTGTGCAATAAGTAATGAAATTAGTCTATGCAGCCGGGTCCGCGAGGCAGGTCTGCAGGGGCCAGAAGCTCAGCAAGGAAAGCGCGTGGCGGGGCGGGAGGTACTTTACCTGCCTGGCCCTGGGCCGCCTCGACCTCTCTCATCTTTGCCAGGCGTAGCCTGAAGGGTAAGGATTCAGGCACGAATGACTATCTGTTCAGGGCCCCACTACCACTCCTCGTCCTCTGAGCTGGGGTCGTTAATTCATCGGTCCCCCTGAGGTCCAGTGCTTAAAGGCGTTTACCAACCCCGAAGTCTGTCACTGGGGACGAACTCACCATCCGTGCTCCCTACCCGCCCCCCTTCCTACTCCCCGTCCCGGGTCTACACTCGGAGCACCCTTCCTCTTGTCGGGTCCGGCCAGCAGCTCCCAAGCCCCGCCCCCAGGTGGGTAGGGCAAGCGCTGGCCCCGCCCCCCACGTCCGCACAGGGTGACGATGTCAGCGTTGGCCGTTTCCATGGCGATCGTCAGGGGGTCTTTGTTTTCGGAGTCCCGAGCTCCCAGGTCGGCTCCCCGTTTCAGGAACAGGCAGGCCAGCCTGGAAAGGACAGACAGGTTCAGCCGGCCACTCACCATATCCGGGCCCTTCTTTCCCGCAGCCATCCGCCCCGCCCGTCCCTACCCGGTGTGGCCCAGAATGGTTGCGTGGTGCAGCGGCCCCCGGCCGTGATTGTCCGCCTGGTTCACGTTCGCCCCGTTCTGGAGGAGAAACTCACAGGCCAGAAGAGAATTCTGCATGGAGAGGTTGAGAACGGGAGAGAAAGTGGCATCTTTAGGAGCAGACTAAAGAGGTTTTGGGCTGGGGTGCAGCTGTGTCAGGCTCTGCTCCAGCCCCTTCCCGGTATGCATAGGTTAAGTCCACAGTACAGCGTCATGCGGTATGTTATCTGTTCTACAGACGAGCACACTTGAGGCACAGAGGTTCACAACAGTGAGTGGTGTGAACGTGAATTCAAACCCAGGTTGCCTGCCTCCAAATCACATGACCCCTTAGCAACCCGTCTCTATTGGTCATCATTCCCTAAGGGGGGTAGGGGTAAGAGCGGGTCCCTAGTCGCAGTAGGTACGTGGGCAAGACTCACAGCAGCCGTGGCCTGGATCAGTGGCGTGGCATTTTCCCGAGCTGCGTTGACCCAGTTGACATCAGCTCCGTGGGCGAGGGCATCGGCCATGGTGGGGAGGGATGGAGGGTGCCCGGCAGCTCGAAACAGCAGGGCCCCTGGGTGGAGGCTGCCCAGGTCATCGGAGTGGGGCTCTGGTGAAGGAAATTGGCCGTGGGTCTGGTAGGAAGCCCTAGGCACAGGCCCCAAATGCTCTGATGGGACAGGTCATTCCTCAGTTGTGGGGAGACTCCGTGTGTGTTCGGGACTCCGGGGACAGCAGTGGGAGGTGGGGGTGTGTGTGCGTGCAGGGCCCGCAGGGCAGGGGGCACGGACAGCATCATTCAGCTCCTCCTGTTCACTTACCTGGACCGGCTGGACCGTCACAAGGGAGCCAACAGCCCCAGTGGCTCTGGTTCCCTCTGCTCCAGCCAAGCTCCTGCCTCCACAGGCCTTTTCATTCTCCCTCCTGACTTTTCCTGTGGTTGAGACCCTCCCTGCCTATCCCCAGCCCCATGCTCCTCCCCAGTCTTCACTTAGCCCCTGAAACTCTTGCCTTGTAAAATCAGAGCTAGTGTGGTCCACCCCCAACATTGGCAAGGGGAGGGCTGGGGCCCCATGCTCTGTGCCTCCTCACCGGGTGTGACATAGTGCTGGGCACGCAGCCGGGCTCCCCGAATGTCCAAGCAATGGTATACCTGGCCTGGCTCTGCAGCTTCCCGGCTGGGACCTGATGGAAGGCTTGGGGAGCACAGGAGGCTGCCCCCTGGAGGGCCCCCGGCCACCTCTTCGCCCTCGAATCTCAGGAAGTTTGGTCAGGAACTTCTTCTCCACATATTTGGCATGAATCCAGGCCTCCTTCTCCTGCCTGGCAGAGTATGGCAGGGAAGAAGGGGGATAGTCTTCCCTCCTCTGGTCCCAGACCCTCTTTCTTCCCCGCCAGTAGGCAGCCCCAGCACTTCCATCCCAATCTCACCGGGAGCAGGTGGGCCCTGGTTTTTTCACTGCCATGGCCTCCACGCGGGCCTCATAGATCTGGTTGATGACGACATTCCCCAGCTCGCACATAAGCTTTGGGTGGCCCAGACAGAGACACAGACACAGACAGACAGGTGGGAGGGGAGGGAGGTGAGTGTCTGAGCCCTCAGGACACTGCCGTCCTGGACTCACCCCACCCCACCCGGTTCTCATCACGACACCCCAAGTCACCTTTACCAGTTCTGGCTCCCATGAGTCAAGTGTCAGAGACCTGACTTTGGAGAAGTGAACCCCGAGGCTCCTGGTGGGTCAGAGTGAGAGTCAGGCCCTCTGCAGGGCAGCAGCTGCCAGATGAGCACAACAGGCACGCAGAGGCACTGACCAGGAGGCGGCAGGGCAGCGGGCTGCGTGGCCTGGCTCTGTCCATCCTTCCCTCTTCCCCCTTCTCCTACATTTCAGTGTCAGGGCCTCATCCTCTTCAGCCACCTCCCTTCTCTTGCCCTGCCATTCCCATCCTTCCGCCAGACCGATTCAGATGAAATGCCTCACAGACTTGCTGAGGCCTGGTGACCTTTCCTCTCTCTGCTCATTGGTTCCTTTACCCTCAAGAGCCCCGACCTCATGCCTCCAGTCAAGCCTATAAATCCCTCTGGCCAGACCAGGACGCTGTACCCAGTGACAGCAGGGCAAGGAGGAGGGGGGAGCCCGTGGGAGGAACTCTATCCTGCCCCCTCCCCAGACCCCAGCCGGAAGGAGTAGGGCCCCGCTGGGGTAGTGGGGAGTGACCTGTGGATGCCCGAGCATTGGATGCACAGAGTGACACCCAGGTTGATGCTGGCCCACTCTGGGGCTGGCTCTCGACAGTCACAGCACTGGGCATTGCCGTCTACGCTCTGCACCTGGGCTGCCACGTGCCCAGCTCCGCCTGGTTCCCTGCCCTTGCTCATCCCGCCACAGCCCAGGGTAGCAGAGGAGCTCATGGCGGGGTATCCTGAGCCCTAGGGGAGACAGAGGTGGAAAGGATGGCTATGGGGCTTGGGGAAGGGTGCCTCATCTCCCTGGGCAGCCCGGCCCTGTACCCTCCAATTAAGGCACCTGGCCTGGACCCCGGGGGCTGTCCTCGAGGCGAGCCTGGCTGAAGGCCGTGGCGATGCTGCTTTGCACAGCACTGATCCACAGCTGCAGGAGACGCTCCGAGTCAGCCTGCAGGAGGCAGGACCTGGGCAGGAGGGGAGAGCAGAGGGGCGCGGGTGGTGTGAGGCCTGGGGAGGCTCAGGATAGGCTGGCTTACCTCCAGCTGCTATTCAACCAGTACCCGTTGTACTGACATACGAAACACCAGTTGAATAGAGATTTGGCACCAATGGGTCAGATCTTTCTAAATATCCCCCATTGCCTTATCCTTTCTTGCCAGGACACCTCCCGGTCTGTCCCCCAATCCAGCCACCAGAAGGTTAACGCTCTATGATCAGCCCTGCCTCCCTGTTGGCAAAGATTTAGACACAGGAATGCCTGGGTGGCTCAGAGGTTGAGCATCTGCCTTCAGCTCAAGTCATGACCCTGGGATCCTGGGATCAAGTCCCACACTGGGCTCTCCGCAGGAAGCCTGCTTCTCCCTCTGCCTGTGTCTCTGCCTCTCTCTGTGTGTCTCTCATGAATAAACAAATAAAATCTTTTTTTTGGAACAAATAAAATCTTAAAAAAAAAAAAGATTTAGACACAGTGGAGCATCAGGAGCATCAATCACCCCTGACTTCTGCACTCACTTGCTGGGGGACACAACCTCAAAGCAAAACCGCCTTTCTGAGTCGGGGCAGAGCTTCACAGTGCAGAGGCGAAGGTCATCCACCACCACGGTCACGGGGTCCTGGAAGGGGAAGGAAGGTGACGAGGGGCAGCCATCCACACAGCTGCGGCAGGGGCAAGGTGTCACCAGGCTCTGGCACCCAGTGCCCAGCCCACCTACCTTGTACTTCTTCTGATAAACCAGTTGGTTGCTCTGAATAGTGAACCAGCGTCTGGAGGAGGTGGGAACAGAGTTGTGGACATGAGTGGCACTGGGATGCACTTGGGACAGGGACTGCTGAGGGGCTGTGTGCCCTTTGCTCCATGAGGATCTTGCCTAGAGAGCCGTGCTGACCACCTCATCCCGTCAGGAGGGCACACGGCCTTGTAGGTCAGGACACCCAAAGCGGCACTGCTCACACCTCAGACAACCCAGATTTGATGCATTCGTGAAGACAACTTTCCAGAAGTAAAATGCTTTTTCCAATAAAAATACTCTACTCTAATTTTTTAAAGATTTTATTTATTCATGAGAGACACAGAGAGAGAGGCAGAGACACAGGCAGAGGGAGAAGCAGGCTCTCTGCCGGGAGCCCAACGTGGGCCTCTAGGTCTCGATCCCTGGACCCCGGGGTCACGCCCTGAGCCAAAGGAGAGGCTCACGCGCTGAGCCACCCAGGAACCCCAAGGTTTGTTTTTTGTTTTTTAAAGTAATGGCTATACCCTCGTGGAGCTCAAACTCACAACTCCCAGACCAAGAGTCATGTGCTCTCTACTCATTGAACCAGCCAGGCGCTCCTACAATTGTTTTTTTTTTTTTTTTAATTTTAATTTTTATTTATGATACTCACAGAGAGAGAGAGAGAGAGGCAGAGACATAGGCAGAGGGAGAAGCAGGCTCCATGCACCGGGAGCCCGATGTGGGATTCGATCCCGGGTCTCCAGGATCGCGCCCTGGGCCAAAGGCAGGCGCCAAACCGCTGCGCCACCCAGGGATCCCTACAATTGTTTTTTATAAAGATTTTATTTTGGGACACGTGGGTGGTTCAGCAGTTGAGCATTTGCCTTTGGCTCAGGTCCTGATCCCGGGGTCCTGGGATCGAGTTCTGTATCCGACTCCCCGCATGGAGCCTGCTTCTCCCTCTGCCTGTGTCTCTGCCTCTCTGTGTTTCTCATGAGTAAATTTAAAAATCTTAAAAAAAAAAAAAGATTTTATTTTTATGTGATCTCTACACTCAACGTGGGGCTCAAACCCAGAACCCCGAGATCAAGAGTCACAGGCTCCACGGAGTGGACCAGCCAAGGCGCCCCGTGTCTCTTGCCACAATTTTGACAGAAGCATCTTAGGGAAAGGCTCAATTTTCTGACTTGGGCCAATGTCCCCGACGGGCTGGCAGTGGCCCTGGGACAGGAAGTAGAGTCACAGCAAATGACCAGCCCGCCCCATACCTGCAGGGGCTCCTAAGTCCCTACAGAAGCTGACAAGGCCCCATGTCGCTGAGCACACCCCTACTAGCTCCAACTTCTCCTTGCCCCACATCTTCCTCCCTCCCTCTGTCCCCCCACCCTCAGGGCTCTGTCACTGGCTCCTCTTTCTGCCTAGAATGTTCTCTCCCCCAGATATCCTTCAAGTCTTCACCCCGAAACCATCTTCTCACAAAGCCTGCCCTGACCACCCCACCTAAAACCATGACCCATCCCCAGCTCTTCACACCCTCTGCTTTAGTATTTTTTCTCCTGTGCCGCTCTTCTCTCCCAACATAACAGAATTCACTGTGGGTCTCTGCAGTGGGATACAAAGTCTGCGAAGCTGGTGGGTCTTGTCTTTTTTTCTCTGTGCTCGGCACCCTATCTCAACAAATGTTTAGGTGATTTGGGTGGGTGGGGGTGATGGGGGCACCTTCCCCTCACCTGCTCCAGGTCTTAAATGCGTTGCTGGCCCGTTTGAAGAGGTGTCCTTCCATCACTAGGCCACCAGGCCCTTCCTTTAGGCTTGGCTCTGGCTCCTCCCCACCCAGCTCCTGGGGAGCACAGGAGGGTCAAAGGGCAGCTGAAGTGGGCAGAGGCCGAGGCACCAGGCCCTGCTGCACCCCAAGGACCTCACCTTCTGCTTCAACAGCACGTGTCTCTGCTCCATGTCCCTCCTCTCACGAGCTGAATTCAGGACCAGCTGGTGCAACTGGGCACACCATGGGCATTTCAGATGTTCCCCCCCCGCCACCCCCCACTAGGCCAGGACAGGTATCTTAGAGGCCCCTCCGCCCCCACTGTCCTGCTCCCCGGGGCCCCACCTGGGCGCCCAGCTCCCTGCGATACTGGGCCAGCTTGCCCAGCTCCTCGTGGCCCTGCTGGAAATGGATAGCTTGGGCCTCCACCAGCCGCAGCACCTGGTGACAAGGTGGGCAGGGGGTGGAGCTGACAAGGCACTCTGTCTCTCCTTCTTCCCTACTACCACCCCATCAGCAGGCTCCCCTCCACCCTGCCATCACCACCACCGCCGCCACCACCGCAACTCACAAACTCCATGATGTCAAACTTCCTCTTGTCCTCAATCACGTTGATCTGAGGGCCCCCAAAAGCCCTCAGGTCAGTCTTGCAACCACAGCACCCCCTCCCACTGCACAGGGGGCCCTCTCCAGCCTCTGAGGGGCCAGAGGCCCTCGGATCCCGAGGCGGGATGGGTTGGGGTGGGCACCTGCAGGGCATAATCCAGGGCTCGTCCCTGGTACCCAGCCCGCGCAGTCTTCAAGGCAGCGCCCGCCTCTTCTGCCTCCTGGGCCCGGCGCCTGGGGACCTCAGCGTTGTGGATAAGAGCAGCCTCCAGGCTCTCAGCCCCCTTCCAGAAATCCCGGCGAGCCTCTCGGAAGCCCCGGAGACCTCTGTGGAGGAGCGGAAAAAACAACCCAATAGCTCCCCCTACTCCCAGCAGAGAGTCCCAGGGAGGCCCCTGTGGGGACAGGAAGAAGGATGGAGGCCTGGTTCCTCTCCCGACTCACTCTTTGGCTAGGGTTTGGATCTGCTGCTGCAGCGTGTGCTGGGTGGCATCTAAAAGCTCCTGAGGAAAAGCAGAAATTGACAGGCGAGGCCCAGGCCACAGAGGCCGGACACCGGTCCCACCTGCTCTGCTCCCTTACCGCATGGCTGTCCAGCTTGTGGCTGAGGCTCGTGGTGAACTTGTCCAGACACTCCTGGGCACGAGGCGGCAGAGAGAGGGTAGCAGACATGGGGCAGCAGCACCTACCGTCTACACCCAGCCCACCAGGTGGCCTCTGGCCGTGGCCCCAGCCCAGGTTCACCCTCCCCTCGCAGAGGACGTCCATGTTCCAGACTCCAGCCCAGTGTGGCTTGGGCCTCCACCTACCGCCATCATGGGCTCTGGTGGACCCAGGCGGGCCAGGTCACAAATGCCAGCGATGAAGGTGCGGCCAGCGGCCAGGTAGTGGCGCCCACTTTCCAGGAGGCCATTCCCCAGCTTGAGAAGCTAAGAAGCAACAGAGTGACAGAGAGTTGGGGGACCCCACCCTGGTCCCCCTGCTCTGCCCTTCCCCAGGGCTGTGCCCCTGCTGCCCAACCTCACCTTTGCCTCTGCAGCCCAGCTGGGCACCCTCAGTTTCTAACACACCCCTGGTGCTTAACTGCTCTGTGCCTGGAAGACAAATCTCCCAGCCTCTCACCACAGCCGGTGTCAGCTTCACCTTTGAACTGTCTTTCTCTGTCCCTTGACACACGTAGCCCCCCAGGCCTGCCCCACCTGCCCGGATCCAGTGCTTCCCAGATACCCTACCCTCATGCACTGTTGGCTCACAGGACAAATGCTCCACCTGGGTGGCACTGAATTCCCCAGTCCTTCTCAGCTGGAGCTGTCCCATTCTGTGCTCATGGCACATTCCCTCACCAGATTAATCAGCCCCCTGGCCACAGGGTCAGGGCAAACAAAGATGGCAAGTTAGGGTGCTCCTAGGTCTGATCCGAGGAGGGTCCCTCTGGAAGAGCCAGGCAGCTGAGCCAGAAACCAAAGCGAGGTCTCCTGATCTCAGGCCCTTGCTTGGGAACTGCATTGCCTCTCAGGTGACACCACTTGGTTTGGGCCTGAGTCAACATAGCTGGGACAGAGCGAGCGTCAGTGGAGCCCTTCAGCTCAGCCCAGGGGACAGGAGACCAGCAGGGAAGTTTCCTCCACAGGAATCTCCATGTGGAGATTTGGGGCAGCAGGGGATCAGAAAGCTGGGCCCAGAGGTTCTCCATTAACTTTTAATGAGTAGAAAGACTTTTGAGGGCTAGTGAAGGCTGCAGGGAACTACAGCTTGCCTTGAAGGTGGCTGACAGGGTCACTAATGGTCAGGACAGCGACCATGATCCAATCTCATCAGATGTCACCACGAGGTGTCTGTGATCAGGGACCAGGACGCAGACACTCACAACTTCACTGCGTAGTGCTGGGGCACTGAGTGTCCGTTTTTTTCCCTACCCACCACCCTTTCTCCATCTGTGAGCATTCACAAAACTGAACTCATGACAAACTGGCCCATCCATGCGATGGAACAGTGCTCAGCAACACAAAGGAATCAACCGTCCATATGGGAACTACTCATACCAATAGGCAACAACCTGAGCAGACCTCAGGGGCATTATTCTGAGAGGAAAAAAAAAAGAAAGGGCCAATCTTGAGAACTCGCCTACTGTATGATTTCACTTGTGTAACGTTCTAGAAATGACACGTTGGGAGAACAGAGGGTGGTAACTGCAGGTTCGAGAAGGCAGGGAGGTATCAGGATAAAGGGTAACTCCTTGTGGTGATAGGAGTTTCATATCTTTTTTTTTTTTTTTTTTTGAGAGAGAGAGAAACCGTGCAAGAGTGGTGGTGGGGAGGGAGAGGGAGAGTCCTTTTTTTTTTTTTTTTTTTTTTTTTGTTCATGAGAGACACAGGGAGAGAGAGAGAGGCAGAGGGAGAAGCAGGCTCCATGCAGGATGCAGGGAGCCTGACGTGGGACTCGATCCTGGATCTCCAGGATCATGCCCTGGGCTGAAGGTGGTGCTAAAACCGCCGAGCCACCTGGGCTGCCAGAGAGGGAGAGTCCTAAGCAGGCTCCATGCTCAGCACAGAGGTGGACAGGGGCTTGATCTCATGATGATCCTGAGATCATGACCTGAGCTGAAGCCAAGAGTTGGATGCTTGACCCATTGAGCCACCCAGGCCGCCTAGGAGTTTTTTCTTTCTTTTCTTTTTCTTTTTTCTTCTTCTTTCTTTCTTTCTTTCTTTCTTTCTTTCTTTCTTTCTTTCTTTCTTTCTTTTTCTTTCTTTCAAGATTTTATATATTTATTCATGAGAGACACAGAGAGGCAGAAACACAGGCAGAGGGAGAAGCAGGCTCCCCCCAGGGGCCCGACGTGGGACTCAATTCTGGGCCTCCAGGATCACATCCTGGGCCGAAGGCGGCACCAAAGCGCTGAGCCGGGCTGCCTGAGTTTTGTGTTTTCAATGTGATGCTGGTTATAAGAACAGAGCCTTGTGATGAAGTGCCACTGAATTATTCACAAAGACTTTTTGAAACAAGGGTACAGTCAACCCTTGAACATGGGTTTGAAATGCGCTGGTCCACTTGTAAGTGGATTTTTTTCAACAAATACACTACCGTACCATAAATGTGTTTTCGCTTCCTTCTGATTCATGTTTTCCAAAATTTTGTTCTTTTATTTTCATTTTTTAAAAGTAAGCTGTACACCCAACATGTGGCTTGAATTCACCACCCTGGGGTCAAGAGTTGCGCGCTCTACTGACCGAGCCAGCCAGGAGGTCCTCTTCCTTATAATTTCCTTAATAGTACTTTTCTCTAGCTCCTTTTATTGATGAACACTATATAATACATACACCACACAAAAATGTTAATCGATTGTTTATGTTATTGGTCAATGGCAGGCTATAAGTAAAACTTTGGGGGAGTCAAGAATTATATGCCAATTTTTGACTGCATGGAGGGTCAGTTTCCCTAGCTAGCCCCCTTGCTGTTCAAGGGTCAACTGTAAATGCAAACAGGTAAAATCCAAGTATGGTCTGCAGATAGTTCAACGTGCCAACATCAATTTCCTGGTTTTGGTGACATACTAGTGTTATATGAGACGCCACCTCTGGGGGAAACTGGGGCATGAGGACATGGGACTTCCCTGCATTACTGTTGTAACTTCTCCTAAAGTCTATAACTCAAAAATCAAAAAGCTTAGGGGCACCTGGGTGGTTCGGTCATTTAAGTGTCTGACTCTTGATTTCAGCTCAGGTCATGATCTCAGGGCTGAGGGACTGAGCTCCACACTGGGGTGGGGAGTAAAGGGGGGGGGAGGACCTGCACTCAGTGGGGAGTCTGCTTGAGATTCTCCCTCCCCCTCTGCCTCTCCCCTCCCTGCCACTCGCACATGTGCGTGCCCTCTCGTTGTCAAGTAACTAAGTCTTTAAAAAAGAAATTTAAAAAGTGAAAAAAAACTTTTTTTTAAAGATTTTATTTATTCACAGAGAGAGGCAAAGACACAGAGGGAGAAGCAGGCTCCCTGTGGGGAGCCCGATGCAGGACTCGATCCCAGGACCCCAGGTCACGACCTGAGCCGAAGGCAGATGCCCAACTGCTGAGGCACCCAGGAGTCCCAAAAATGAAAAAGTTTAAATAAAAAATATGTATTTGTGAATTGGTCACCTGCTAACCTTCAGACTCTGGTACAGGTACTGGGGATTGAACAAAAACAAAACATAAAAGTCCCTCACAGCACTTAACGTTCTCGTGGGGGAGAAACAAGAAAACAAGCTGGCAGAGTGACAGACACACTCTAAGGTGACCCTGAATGGTTCCCTCTCTTGCATCATCCCCACCCCCCTAAGCGTGAGACATGTGACCTGATCCTACCAACAGAACGCGGCAAAGGCCACAGGACAGTGCTCCCATGGTCAGGTTATGCCACGGGGCAAAGATGACACATTCTCTGCACCTGTGACTACATTTCGACGTAAGCTGATGCCACGTTGGCGGCACACATGGGAGTGACCCCCCACCCCCCATCCCCAACGACAGGCTTGAAGAAGCAAGCTGCTGTGATGTGAACTGCCCAGGGATGGGCCCCATGGCAGGGGACTGGGGGGTACCCTGGGCAGGTGAAGGCCTTAGTCCTACAAGGAACTAGCCTCTGCCGACGATCATGAAAGCTGGGAGAGGACCATGTGCTTCTGATGGGACTGCGGTGTTTGAGCCCATGAGTAGAGGACCAGCGGAGCTGCGCTTGACTGCTACCCTTCTGGCACCATGCTAGCAGGTGCTGGGCTAAGTCAGCACATCCGCAAGGACTCTTTAGGGAGCAGTAGGAAGCTAGCAGGGCAGATAAACACATCACACGTGAGAGCAGGATAAACGCTAGAGAGAAAACAGAGAAAAGTGAAGCCAAGTAAAGGGGCAGGAGCGTGTATGCGTGCGGATGCACGTTTTATACAAAGTAGCCAGGGAGGGCCTTCCTGTATCATGTTTAAGTGTCTGGCTGGCTTATCTCCCCAAGGCTGTCTGTGGGCTCCCTGGGGGCAGAAGAGTCTTGCCTTCCCCAGAGGCCCAGCTGACCCAATAAGCCCACAGGGTGTCTGGTCTTCCAAGGCCCTGTGTGCCCTGGGGGTATGGAGCTGCCCCTTCCTTCTCTGCAGCCCCGTGAAGTATTTACCCCGCAGGATCAGCATTCACAACCCCTGGAACAATTTCGCCAGCTCCCGTTCTCTCCCTGGCCCCGCCCCTCCCACTTCAAGGCGATCCAGGGTCACCTCTCTGTGTCACCTTTTCTAGCCGGGCCTCCAGCTCTGACACCTCGGCTTCCACCAGCTCGATAGAGGCTCTGGGAAGAGAGGGATGGATGGATGGGGTCACAGGAGCAGAGCTGGGGTCCATCTGATCCGTGCACCCCAGGAGGGCCAGGGTTGGGGTTGGTGGGTAAGGGGACAGACAGAAGGGCCAACCAGTGAAGGCCTGACCACCGCCCTCTTTTGCTCCCTTCCTTTGCGCAGTGTGGGAGCCACAGGGCCCAGGCCACAGCAGGAAGAGTAAAAGGAGGGTGGATGTGGTGAGGGCAGGAAGTTGCTAACCGCCCTAGCAGGTGCTGGGGGAGGGGTAGGGGTCCCCAGGAGCGGGAAGTGGGAATGTCAGCTCTGGAGATAGAGGGGCTCCAGAGACTCCCTGGGCACATAAAGGGGGTGGAAAGCACCCAGGCCTGGGGTTGCACAACAAAGGTGCTACTTTTTCCCCCGGCCCACACCCCTCTGCGTCCCTGGCAGGACGTCTGGACCGAGAAAGGTTGTAGGTGTGTAAGTATGTGCGCTGGGGGAAGGGGGTCGGGCCTCACCTCCTGTGCTCCCCCAGACCCGTGCACACTTACCGGAAGCGGGGTGAGTCCTTGAGACACTCCTCAAAATCCAGCTTGACGGTCATCTCCACTTGATTGGCCCTGAGACCAGATGGGTGGTGGGGGGTCCACGTGGAAGTGCTCCCCGCCCCAGGAGGGGTTGATGAGGCAGGTGGAGGGGGTCCTCTCCCGGGGAAGAGCCGGGGGGTGGGGTGGGGGTGGGGGCTCGATTCCTTCGCGGAGGTTCAGGGGTGTCCAAGGAGGAGCTCTCACCTCACACTTGCTGGCAGCTCTGGGAGGGGCAGAGGCGGGGGAAGGCAGGAAGCCACAGCCCCGCCCACGGAGACTGTGCTGTCCTCTTCCTACTGGGAGCTCTAGTCTCTGCTTCTTTCTCCTTTAGTTGTGGGGGTTGGGGAGGCACATAGGGGGTCAAATACTCATTCAGTCACTCAGAGAGGTGAGGTAACCCTGGGTGAGCTCTCTGAATCCTCAGGTGTACCATCTGGAAGATGGGCTTGGTAACTCGCTCTCCCTCCCCCCCGCTGCCCTCCCAGGGTTGTAAGAATTCATGGTGCTATTGGTAAGGTTAGGATTGGTGGGTTGGCGGTACCACACCAATCACTGTCACCCTGCTGCAGATGGGTCTTCTGGGCCTCACAGACCCCTGCTGATCCAGTATCCCAAGGCACTCCCAGTTCTCTTCTGGGCTCCCCCTGCTGTGGTTTCCTGTGTGCAGAGGTCCCTCGCTCCTCCTGTCCTCACTGACCTAGCAGGCCCAGTCACAACTCACAGCACCCAGACTCCTGCGTGTCTCTTTATTGCCCACCTCAATTGTGGTGAGGGCTGGGAGGGGCTGGCCCCCACCCCATCCCCAGCTGCCTACATTTTCCATTGTCTGGCTTCCTCCTCTTGTGTCCAGCGAAGCCGCAGGGTTTCATCTGCAGAGAGAAAGGACTGGGCTACTGGCTTTCTTGAAGCGGCCAGGAGATCCGGCCCACGTTACTCCGAAACTCCCTGGAACCTACCCACTCAGGCCCTCTCCCTCCCTGGCCAGCACGGGCAGCCCCTCGCCCCTGCCTGGGCTCACGTCTGCATTGGTTTGGGTGTGGGGAGATTCGGTTGCTTCCAGGTTCTCTCTCCAAGCTTTCTGGGCCCTGCCAGTTGAGCCCCTTGGATACCAGCCACTGACACCAGCCCAACTCTGCTCTGTCTTTGGAGGACAGGCCAGCTCCTGGAGGGGGGCGGGTAGCAGAGAGGAGTCAGGGAGCAGGCGTGGGGCCAGTGGATAGTGCCATGCTGGAGAGGGCCCCAAATCCTTTGGAGCCTCCTGGTTCCTCTCTGAACAACACAAGCCTTGCACACCAGGATGCTTGGGACCATGCTCAGTAACCACTGCTGATCCACCGGTATGCAAAGAAGGGGAGCTGGGGGGCTGAGTGCTTGTCAAGAGCCAGACATTGTGGCCTGGTGCCCTCACCAGGCTGTGATGTCGCCACTGTCCCCGTCAGGCAGTCTTCAGTGGCCTGGTGATCCTGAACAGGGTTTCCTGTGTGGTCCAGCAGACGGACCTCTGTGCTTATGGGGTTCTGAATCACCCAGTTAAAATTTACGGAGCCTGCAAGCATCACGGGACCAAGATTGGGGCACCCCACTAGTCTGCTGGCTACCAGCACCCCCCGTCCCAGGCTGACCCAGCCCAGCTCTCACTGTCCTGCTGGTCATGCTCATCTTCTGTGTCCTCCTCGAGCTCCGGGTGTGGGGAGCACCTCAGGTACCTCCCTTTGCTATAATACTCTTTGCGTTGCAGGTCAATCTCCTTGTCTGACGTGATGGCGGCTGAAACTGGGCACTGATTTCGGAAGCTATGGGAATCTGGAGAGTCACCCCAATGATCTGAGTCTTCCAGCCATGTCGGGGGTCTAGGACCCCCAGGTGTCCATAATGCCCTCCCTCAGGGGAGAAGCTCAGGCCCCCGATTTTCATCTCAATTCTGTGTCCTCCTCCCATGTGAGAAAACCCTGGTGACCTATCCATTCCCCAAGCCTGTCTCAGGCTTCCCGAGGGCCATCATGCTGAGGACCCCACCTCCTCCCCCTTCTATCTTCCCTGGGGGTGCCTCCCATCTCCTCCCTCTCAGGCACCACAGCTGACCCTTGACTTCCAAGAGGTGGTTCCTGGTCACCAGGCCAATCTCATCTTTGACTCCTCTGGCCAGTCCTCCCGGCCAGCCTCTCTCCGCAGGCCTGGGCTCTGGGTCCCGCATCATGCCTCGACTGCTACTGCCCATGCTAGTGCTAGCCCCGTCGCTGTGCTTATTACTGGAAGAAGGATTTTTCTGAGCTTTAAGGAACTTTCCTTCATTGTAGTGTGACTTTCGGTGCTTTTCAAAATCACTGGAGTCTGTGGGCCATTGTGAGAGCTTGGCTTTCCTGCCAGACTCCCATGGAGGGTTCACTCTGCCTCCCCTTTCTCCTCAGTCCCAACCCCTCATCTCACGTGTCTTGGAATAGTTGTCTGAAGACCCTGGGCTTCTGTTATCATCGTACTGTAGGACCTTGGGGTACAAATTGTCCATTGTTGCAAACCTGAAGGAGAGGGAGACTAGTTGGGGGCGCCAAAGGGGAGATCACAAGGGGGGCCTAGCTGGGCTGACTCCCCGATCTTGACCTTGGTCAGTCCTGATAGCAGGGAACTGTACCACCTCTCATTTTGATGGCCGAAAAAGCAGAACTGGCTCTGACCCCAGGGGTGAGGTTAGGAAGAGGCCTCACATCTCTTCTGATCTCTGGCTGGACTCTCACCTCTCAGCCAGCGCCTCAGGAGTCACTGTGCGAGAGGATGCTCCAGGCAGGTCCTCATCACCGTCCTGCAGCCTGCAGAGGAGGGAGGAAGCAGTGCTGGGATGCAGGCATCAGGCTGTGCCCAGTCCTTGGGGTCTCTTGCCTCCCCCTCTACTCTCTCTGAATAGGGAAGGTTCTGGGCTGAATGATGAGGGCTGAGGGCTCAGCACCTGTGGTAGGGAGTGCTGGGCTCATCCACCTTCATGAATCCATAGTCCTTGTCAGCAGGGTGGTAGGTGGCCAGAATATTCATCTCATCCCACCGCTGAGACTTTTTCCTGGAATAGGGGTAGGACCCAAGAGAGGAGAAGGAAACCTTCCAGTGACCTTCCCTTCACAACCCTCCGTCGTTCCTTCAGTTATTCAAAAACCTTTCTCTTGTATCCTCTCGTGGTCTCAGAGGCGCAGGAGCCTGAGGATGGCGAGGCGAGGGTGCCATACCTGATGATAATCACATACTGGCCTGACAACGTTTACTGGGCCCCAGCTGCGGCCCCAGAGAGCCTGGAACCCAAGATTTCCCAGCTCACAGCCCTCAGCCGCTCTCCTTCCCAGTTCTTAGGACGCCACCCTCTCCCCTAGCTCCACCCCCTCCAGTGTCGGGAACCCCGCCCTCCGGGCTCCGTGCCGCTGCCCCCTGAGCCGGGCTCCTTACTTGTCCGCATGGAGGCACTTCTGCATCAAGATGGAGCTGCTGTTTTTTAGGATGCTCCGGGGTCGGTCTTCACCAGGTTTGTGGGAGTGCGAGCAAGTTGACCTGGAGCGCGGTGGACTGCATCCCGAGTTGTACACCCCAGAGCCCCCAGACCCGAGGCCGCAGGTCCCGGATACACTGGTTCCAGGGAAGGGGGCATTGAATCCGTCAGGGTTTGGGCAGGACCCGGCGCTCAGGCCCGCAACCTCCCCAGGGTGCTGGCTGGGCCCGGAACCGGGGACTGCTACCCCCGCCGAGGGCCGGCTAACTCTAGGACTGCGAGTTACGATCCCTCCAGAGTGCAGGGGGGTCTCAGAACCGTGAAACAACGCAGCACCGGAGGGCGGCCCGGCGTCTGCCTCGACTCCTCCGACGCCTCCTAGCGCCCCCCTGCTCGCCCCTCCACCGAGGCCGCCAGCGGCCCCCACAGCCTCCGGCTTCTCCATGGCCCCTCCTGGGGGCCCCTCTCAGCTGCCCGGCCTCCACATAACCCCGCCCCGAGGCCCCGCCCCCACCGCGCCGAGCGGGGGACGCTCTGGCAGAGGCCCGGGTCCACTTCCGCTCCGCTCTCCGGGGCCGCGATCCGGGGTTCCAGACTCTAAGTAGGGCCCTCGGGCTGGGGGGTTGCCCTCTGGTTGCCTCTCTCTGTCCCACCCAAAGGCCTTCTTTGTCTCTGGGATTTGTTCCCGCCCTTCTTCCCCATCACCGCCTTCATCCGAATTATCCAATCACAATCGGGGGTCCCGGTCACGGGCGAAAAGCCTTGATTGTGACGTCACAGCCTTTCAGCCTCAGCGCGAGCTCGCAGAGTTGGGCTGGGGGCTTGTTCCTAGCTCGGGGGTCTTTTGGGGGGGCGGGGGTCAATTCCTCAGCGCCGTTGCTGGAAACCACCTGCCAAGGTTTCACTGGACTCTTTATCCGTAGATTTAAGGGTCTGGCTGGATGGGAGTTCAGGGTGGGCTTATCTGGAAGTACTGCCAGCCCCTTTAGCCTTCCCCGCCCCCCTCCCCAAAGTCGGCCTGCTGGGCCCCTCACGAGAGGTGTGAAACAAAGCGACGAGGTTGCGACAGTGTCGCAAAGACGTAGCCGCTCTCGGCGGGGCGCGGCGCCGAGGCGTTCATTTATAAAGCGCCCAGGTCCTACGGCCGCTGCTCACCCGCTGCGAAGGCTGTGGCGCGAGGGGAACACAACCCCTCCGCCCGCCGTAAAGCGGCTTCCTAGAGGGGCCGCGTGCCTCGGCGAGGGCGGGGTCGTCGGCGCCGCTGTTGCCAAGCTGAAGGTGGGGCGGACCCCCTGCGTCGTAAAGGTGCCTGCGGCTGTCGTTTCCTCTTCTGTCGCAAAAGCTCCCTGTCCCAGCCCGCACGGCTTTGAGAGCCTCGCCGTCACCCCGCCGTGCCGTAAAGTAAGCCTGCCCGACCCCGTCGTCCTCCGTTCCCACCGTGGTGGGTTACTAGTTCCCTAGCCCGGGATGCTTCCTCGCCCGGCAGTGCCGTAAAGCATACCCGGCCCCAGCGCGGAACCCCTTCCCTCTGGGTGTCTGTGCGTCGCGGTTGCCACGGTGCCGCCAAGCGCGGCTGTCGCGCGGCCCCGGTGTCAGCGGCGATGGCGGCGGGGTCGGGTGGGAGCGGGGGCTCCGGGGGCGGCCCCGGGCCGGGGCCGGGCGGGGGTGGGGGCCCCGGCGGGAGCGGCGCAGGGCCGGGGTCCGGCGGGGAGTTGCACCCCCGCACCGGGCGCCTGGTGAGCCTGTCGGCCTGCGGGCGTACCGCGCGGCGGCAGCAGCCGGGCCAGGAGTTTAACCACGGGCTGGTGTTGAGCCGGGAGCCCTTGCGCGATGGACGCGTCTTCACCGTCCGCATCGACCGCAAGGTGCGGAGCGGGGCTCGCGGGAGGGAGGCGGGAGGGGGCTCGCGGGAGACGCGGGGCGGGACGGCCGGGCTGGCCTTCGCCGCCGGCTGCCGAGAGCGAACCGACACACCGTCGGGGCACCAGGCGGCGGGCGGGGAAGGGGAGAGGGACGGCGAGAACTTGAGATTGCTCGAGACCCCGGAGCAGGGAAGGGACACGGGACGCTGCCACCCCAGGGGTGGTTAGGGTCCAGATCTCCCGGGATGGTTTCTGGGGAGGTGAAAAGATGGAAGGGTGTCGGGGATGTGGTAGGAGCGCAGGAGAGAAGCCGGGGCAGGACCGGCCGTTGGAGGATCAGCTGGGGCGAAGAGGTGGGTGAGGAGAGACCCTCAGGGGGGCCGAGGGGAGGTATGCCTGCTTGTGTGCCCCTCGGGGAAGAGGCCAGGTGCACACAGATGGAACTTGAGAAGAGAGAGAACCTGAGTGGAGCAGGAGCCCTGGAGAAAATGAGGCCGGGGGTGGGGGGAATTGGGAGGGGGGAGGAGGGTGGTAGACAGGAGCTAGGAGGATGGGCATGGAGAGCCGGGAACTTGGGTGCTGAAAAGGGGGGGGTGGCTGCAGCCAGGGCATGGTGGTGTTGGGGACAGATCCCAGAGTGGGGGCAGAGTTGTTGGGGTACAGCGGGCCCAGCAGTCCCTGAGACAGTCCAGATGATTGCTCACAGGACCACCTCTCTGGAGTCGTGTCTTGGGTCTCAAGAGAGAACAGCCAGTTAGCTGTTAGGGGTGTGGAGAGAGGGGGACATGTGGTTTGTGAAACGTGGTTTCCTAGTGGTTGGGGACCCACGGTAGCCCATCCTGAGCCTCTGTCCACCACCCTTATCACAGGTCAACTCCTGGAGTGGCTCCATTGAGATTGGGGTGACGGCCCTAGACCCCAGTGTTCTGGACTTCCCAAGCAGCGCCACAGGGCTGAAGGGGGGCTCATGGGTAGTGTCAGGCTGCTCGGTGTTGAGGGATGGACGCTCTGTGCTGGAGGAGTATGGTCAGGACCTGGACCAGCTTGGTGAAGGGGACCGTGTGGGCGTGGAGCGCACAGCTGCTGGGGAGCTGAGGCTCTGGGTGAATGGGCGGGACTGTGGTGTTGCCGCCACGGGCCTCCCCGCCCGGGTCTGGGCCGTGGTGGACCTTTACGGCAAGTGTACCCAGATCACCGTGCTGCCCCCCGAGCCAGGTTTCAGCCCCCCTGCTCCCATCCCCACACCTCCCCTCGAGCCCTCTGCGCCCCCTGAAGATTCCGCCTTGACTGAACAGGCGACCTCTGGGGATGAAGGTGAGAACCCAGCCAGGGCCAAGGGGAAGAGGCGGGGCAGGGGGAGTGGCAGAAGGCATGGGTGACTAGTGACCATGGAGTCTGGTTCGGGTAGGGCCACTCAGACCCCAGTCTGCTGAAGGGGAAGCAGGGGCTACAGGAGGGGTGTCCTGGTTGTGGGCCCCGCAGCAGAGGCTGAACCCTCATTCCCCTCCCACCCCGCCTGGTCCCCAGCCTTCATGGTGTCCCCAGCGCAGCCCCGGCCGGAGACGTTTCCTAACAGCCTTGAGTCGCATAATGGTGAGGGCACCCTGGAGGCTTTGGGAAGGGGAATGGGAAGTGAGGCGGAAGGTGAGGGGAGGGGGCCCTCAGGAGAGGATTAGGGGGAGAGTGGAGGGCCTGAATGTGTAGAGCCTCATTTTGGCTTCTCTCCCCCGTCCTTGCCGCCTAGACTTTGCCAGCATGGAGCTCTCTGAGGTGGTGGGCAACGCCATCCTTTCTGCCTACAACGGGGGGCTCCTAAATGTGAACCTGAGCTCCCCGCCGGCAGGGGAAGGACTGGGGTCTGGCGGGGCTGCCACCTCGCCCATCTTCACCTCCAACGACGCCTTGCTCTTTCACGAGAAGTGCGGGACTCTCATCAAACTCAGCAACAACAATAAGACAGCTGAGCGCCGCCGGCCCCTGGACGAATTCAACAATGGGGTTGTCATGACCAACCGCCCTCTTCGGGACAATGAGATGTTTGAGGTGTGTGAGGTCCTGGGCCCTGGCTGGTACCTCACCCTCTAGGAACCAAAAATGGGGCTCGATCCCTGACATTGGAAGGGTGGGGCCGAGGGTCCTCTCTCCACGTTGACATGCCCTCCTCTCCCTCCTGCTGTCGCTCCCCCCAAGATCCGCATTGACAAGCTGGTAGACAAGTGGTCGGGCTCCATTGAGATTGGTGTCACCACCCACAACCCCAACAACCTGGAGTACCCTGCCACCATGACCAATTTACAGTCAGGTACCAGCCCTGGCAGGGCGGGGACACCTTCCCATGGTGAAGGAAGGCCTGGCCTGATGCCGGGCGTCTGCCTTCCCACAGGCACCATCATGATGAGCGGCTGTGGGATCCTGACCAATGGCAAGGGCACCCGCCGGGAGTACTGTGAATTCAGCCTGGATGAGCTGCAGGTGAGGGGTGGGCGTGCAGTCTGGGCCGCGCTCTGGGGCAGCCTTGTTACCCAGCACCCCTGCCCGGGCACCCCAGTCTCCGCTGTGACCTGGAACAAGGCCTCTGATCTTTCTCCGAGAGGTTCCTTCTGAGAAGGCACGGTTGCCTGGTAGTTAGGCACTCAGATTTCAGAGCCCAAGGTTTTCTTTTTTTCTGAGGGGTCGTGTGGGGTCGTGACTACAGTCAAGAAGCTTGCTCACTATGTTTGGTATGGGTTTCTTTTTTTCTTTTCTTTTTTTCTCCACGCCTGAGATGAGCTCATGAATTGCTGGGAGAGGTGGCTGAGGTGCTGTGTATGAGGTGGCTTCACCCTGTGCCAGACTTGCTGTGAGGGAGGGTTCAGGGGCTCAAGACTCAGGTGCCTTTGGGGCTGTTCCCCTGCGGCCTGGGCCAGAGCCTGATTGGGGGTGGATTCCAGATCTTTGTTTTTCTGCTCTGACTAGGAGGGCGACCACATTGGTCTCACAAGGAAGTCTAATTCAGCCCTGCACTTCTTTATCAATGGCATTGATCAGGGTAAGGAGATACCTGAGGCAGGCCATTGGGCCAGGGCTTTCGGTGTTGGGCAGGGGTCTGTACCTCACCGTCCTGTGTCTCTCTGATGCTGGTCTCCCCATATTCCTTCCCTCTCCACCTTCTCCCCGGCAGGCGTGGCTACCCCACTGACACCCCCAGTGGTGTACGGCGTGGTGGACTTGTACGGGATGGCTGTGAAGGTGACCATCGTCCACAATAACAACCACAGTGACCGGCTGCGTCGAAACAATGCCATCCTGCGGGCACTGTCCCCCGAGGGTGCCCTGCGTCGCGCCACTCCTGCCACCCAGGCAGAGCCCGAGCGCCTGCTCTTCCACCCCAACTGCGGGCAGAAGGCAGCTATCACCCACGAGGGACGCACTGCCCTGAGGCCCCAGTATGGCCCATGGTGTGGGGAGAAGCCTGCTGCAGGGACTCTAACAGGATCGGAGGAGGGGTGGAGAAGCAGGAGGCAGGCGTGGGGGGGGGGGTGGCTTCTGGCCTGGGGAGTTCTTGACAGTATGGTGCCTCCTGGAGAGTGAAGTTCAGCCACGTGGCTCAGCACCACAGGTGTGAGGTGGGCACTGGCGGGCTAAGCTTTGGTGTGCTCAGAGTTACCCATTCGCTGTGCCCTCAGTGCTACAGATGACTTCAACCATGGCGTGGTGCTGAGTAGCAGAGCCCTGCGGGATGGAGAGGTGTTTCAGGTGCGCATCGACAAGATGGTGGACAAGTGGGCTGGCTCCATTGAGATTGGTGTCACCACCCACAACCCTGCCTACCTCCAGTTGCCCTCCACCATGACCAACTTGCGCTCTGGTGAGCTCCCAAGGAGGGCGGGGCCAGGATCGGGTCCTAAGGGGGAAGCTGCCCCCACAGCCCCCACGGAGCTGGCTTGTTCTTGTTCTGCGGTGGCGGCCTGCCACGGGGGCGAGGAGTGCTGTGGGGGCTGTGAAGGGCAGGGGTCCCGGGGCTCACTTATGTTTTCTGTGTTTCCTTGTCCCCGTAGGGACCTGGATGATGACTGGGAATGGGGTAATGCACAACGGAACGACCATCTTGGACGAGTATGGGCACAATCTGGACCGCCTCAAGGTGGGGGAGCAGGTGTGCCGCCCAGGCCTGGTGATGGGGGGCAGGCCCCGCGGGGCTGCTATAGGACTAGCCCAGGTGGGAACTCTGCCTGACTCCTCACTCCAGCCCCGCTTCTTCCAAGGCAGGGGACACGGTGGGCGTGGTGCGGCGGGAGGACGGGACCCTGCACTTCTTCGTCAACGGGATGACCCAGGGCCCTGCGGCCTGGAATGTGCCCCCGGGCGTCTACGCTGTTGTGGACCTCTACGGCCAGGCAGCCCAAGCTACCATTGTGGACGACGTGGGTGAGGGCTGGGCTGGGTAGGAGCTGGGGGGTGCTGGGGTGGCCTGGGGGGGGGCCTCGGAGATCACTGGAAGCCTAATGGGTGATGACCACTCTCACAGAGGTGCCCCCGGCCCCCGAGCCCCTCCCTGAA